GTGTGTCCCCGGTGTGTGTGTCCCCCCCACGGTGTGTGTCCCCCCCCCGGCAGACCAGGGGGGAGGACATCGTGCAGGAGATCTTCGACGCCTACAGGAGCAAGCATCACGCCTCCCAGTAAGCGCCCTGGGATGGGGGGGGATGGAATTAATTCCCCAAAACTCTCCAAAAAAACTCCATGAAATAACTAAATCCCGGGGGGGTGGTGGCTTTTGTCCCCTCCTGAGCGGGTCCCTCTGTCCCTCCCTCTCCTCCAGGTTTGTCCTGCAGCGGGAGAAGCACTTCCATTACCTGAAGAGGGGTTTGCGGCAGCTCTCCTCGGCCTACGAGGTACCGGGGCCACCGTGTGTCCCCCCCTCTGCCCTCTCGGTTGGGGACAACCACCCCTCACCTTGGGGATGTCACCGGTGTCACCGTGTCCCTTCTTTGCCCTCCGGCTTGGGGACAACCACCCTTCACCCCGGGGGTGTCACCGGTGTCACCGTGTCCCTTCGTTGCCCTCCCACTTTGGGGGGGACAACCCTTTGCCCCGGGGTTGCCACCATGAGGGACAACCCTTTGCCCCAGGACTGCCACTAGGGTTGTCACCGGTGCCATTGGTGTCACTGTGTCCCTCCTCTGTTGGGGGGGACAACCCTTTGCCCCGGGGGTGTCACTGTGTCCCTCCTCTGCCCTCTGGGTTTGGGGGGACAACCTTTCGCCCCAGGGTTGCCACCAGGGTTGTCACCAGTGTCACTGTGTCCCTTCTCTGCCCTCCAGGCTGGGGACAACCACCCTTCACCCTGGGGTTGTCACCGGTGTCACCGTGTCCCCACTCTACCCTCTGGCTTGGGGACAACCACCCTTCACCCTGGGGTTGTCACCAGTGCCACCATGTCCCTTCTCTGCCCTCTGGGTTGGGGGGACAACCCTTCGCCTTGGGGTTGTCACCAGTGTCACTGTGTCCCTCCTCTGCCTTCTGGGTTTGGGGGGACAGCCTTTCACCCTGGGATTGTCATCGGAGTTGTCACCGGTGTCACCGTGTCCCCACTCTACCCTCTGGCTTGGGGACAACCACCCTTCACCCTGAGGTTGTCACCGGTGTCACCGTGTCCCCCCTCTGCCCTCCAGCTGGGGGGGACAACCCTTTGCCCCGGGGTTGTCACCGGGGGGGGACACCCTTCACCCCAGGGCTGCCACCAGAGTTGTCACCATGTCCCCCCTCCACCTTCCAGCTTGTGGGGACAACCCTTCACCGGTGTCCCCTGGGGTGAGGCTGGTCCCCGCAGGGATGCCCTGGGGTGGGGGTTAGGAGGGTTGTGCTGCCCGTCAGGGGTCTCTACCTGCTCAGTGTCACCCCCGGTGTCCCCCCCTGTCCCCCCGCAGTGCCTGGACGCCAGCCGGCCCTGGCTCTGCTACTGGATCCTGCACAGCCTGGAGCTGCTGGACGAGCCCGTCCCCGACTCCGTCGCCTCCGAGTAAGTGACACTTTGAGGCTGGGGGGGGGGACATGGAACCACAGACCCACGATTTTTGGAGAGGGGGGGACACCCTGCACAGCAAGACCCATCTATGTCCCCAGGGGGGTGACCCACGTGATGGTGGAGGTGCCACCTCCCGCTGTCCCCGCGCGCTGGCGGGGGAGCACAGCAGGGCTTTGTCCTCCCCGTCACCATCAATGCCACCCATTCTTGTGGCCTTGGTGACGGGGGAGAGATAACCCCCCCCCTGGCCTTGACCTTGAAGGAAGCGGGGGGGGGGGACACACGATCCACAAAGGCTTGGTCACCCCCCCAACTTCATCCCACGTGGAGCTGGGGATGGGAGGGATGATTTGGGGGGGTGTCTCCTGGTGGGAGATATCACCCCAGCGGGTGCTGGGGAGCACTGAGTCCCTTCCCCTTGTGTGTGTGTGTCCCCCCCAAAGTGTCTGCCAGTTCCTGAGCCGCTGCCAGAGCCCCAAGGGTGGTTTTGGGGGGGGCCCCGGGCAGTACCCCCACCTCGCCCCCACCTACGCCGCCGTCAACACGCTCTGCATCATCGGCACCGAGGAAGCCTTCGGCATCATCGACAGGTATGGGGTGGGGAGGGGGTCTGGCTAGCTTGGGGGGGGTTCTGGCTAGTTATGGGGGGGGGTCTGGCCAGCTGGGGGGAGGCAGGGTGCCTGTGTGTCCCCCCCCTGGCCCCCCAGCAGCCCCCTTGGCTCTCGCAGGAAGAAGCTGCTGGAGTACCTGCACTCCCTGAAGCAGCCCGATGGCTCCTTCCTCATGCATGAAGGTGGCGAGGTGGACGTCAGGTGGGTTCCTGGTGTCACCGTGGGGGTCTGGTGCCACCGTGGGGGGCCGGTGTCACCGTGGGGGTCTGGTGCCACCATGGGGGGCTGATGCCATGGCCCTGAGCACCCACCACCTCCCCCAGGAGTGCCTACTGTGCCGTGGGGGGCCGGTGTCACCGTGGGGGTCCGGTGCCACCATGGGGACCTGATGCCATGGCCCTGAGCACCCCCCACCTCCCCCAGGAGCGCCTACTGCGCTGCCTCGGTGGCCTCCTTGACCAACCTCCTCTCGCCCACGCTCTTCGCCGGGACGGCCGAGTGGATCGCCAGGTGAGAGCTGGTGTCCCCAACCTCGGGGGGGGACAGGTTGGGGGATGGGTTTGGTGCCACCCTGACCCCCCTCCTCCCATTTTCTTCACCCCCCAGGTGCCAGAACTGGGAGGGTGGCATCGGTGGGGTGCCGGGGATGGAGGCCCACGGTGGTTACACCTTCTGCGGCATGGCCGCCTTGGTCATCCTGGGCAAGGAACATCTGCTGAACCTCCGGAGCTTGCTGGTGAGTGCCACCACGCTAGGACTTGGGGGGGTCCTGACCTCTTGGTGGTGTCCTCGACGTCCTGGGGGGGTCACCCCCTTCCTCTCTGTCCCCCTCCCCTGTCCCCGCAGCGCTGGGTGACGGGCCGGCAGATGCGCTTCGAGGGTGGCTTCCAGGGTCGCTGCAACAAGCTGGTGGACGGGTGCTACTCCTTCTGGCAAGCTGGGCTCCTGCCCCTGCTCCACCGTGCCCTCCATGCCAGGGGTGAGTTGGCAACTTGGGGGGGAAGGGGGGGGTCTCCTGGCTTCCTCTGCCCCCCCCAAAACGGGAGGGAACAAAGCAGAGAGTAACTTGGGTGTCTTGGGCATCCCCATGTCCCTCTTCTTGGGGGAAGTTCATGCTTTGGGCAACCTGGGCTCCTGCCCCACTGTGCCCTCCATGCCAGGGGTGAGTTGGCCACTTTGGGGGGGGTCCCAGCTTCTTCTGCCCCCCCAAAACAGGAGAAAACAAAGCAGAGAGTAACTTGGGTGTCTTGGGCATCCCCTTATCCCTCTTCTGGGGGGGGCTGCTGAATCCTGGGGGGCAATTCATGCTTTCCCAGGGGATAGAGAGTAACTTGGGTGTCTTGGGCATCCCCATGTCCCTCTTCTTGGGGGAAGTTCATGCTTTGGGCAACCTGGGCTCCTGCCCCACTGTGCCCTCCATGCCAGGGGTGAGTTGGCCACTTTGGGGGGGGTCCCAGCTTCTTCTGCCCCCCCAAAACAGGAGAAAACAAAGCAGAGAGTAACTTGGGTGTCTTGGGCATCCCCTTATCCCTCTTCTGGGGGGGGCTGCTGAATCCTGGGGGGCAATTCATGCTTTCCCAGGGGATTTTTGGCAGTGAGACCAGACGTCTTGATGGGTTCCCAAGATGGGGGGGTGGTGTCACCTTCCTGGGACCTGCAGGGTATTTCACCCCCCTTTTTCCCCCCCTCAAGGTGACACATCTCTCAGCATGAGACGCTGGATGTTTGACCAGCTGGCGCTGCAGGAATACATCCTCCTCTGCTGCCAGTGCCCAGCCGGGGGGCTGCTGGACAAGCCGGGCAAGTGAGTATCAAACCTGGGATGCCACGAGGTGGGGAGGGGGCCCAGTGGCCCAGACACCCCCCCCCTCCCTGATCAGCACCCCAATTTCTATTTTTTTTTCTCTCCCCCCGTGAAAGATCCCGGGATTTCTACCACACGTGCTACTGCCTGAGCGGGTTGGCCATCGCCCAGCACTTCGGTAGCGGTGACCTCCACCAGGAGGTGGTCCTGGGGGTCCCCGAAAATCGGCTGGTAAGTGCTGGGGCAAAGCCGTGGGCACTACTTGCCCCCCCCCCC